TATGGAAAACATTAAAAGTTTGTGTTGCATTGATATATCAATCAATCAAATGTTATTTGTATAGCACATTTCAGCAGCAAGGCATTTCAAAGTGCTTTACATAATTTAAATAAAAACAGCATGTGACACTGAATAAACAGTGAGAAAGAGAAAGACATTTTGAAAAAGATAAAAAAAATAAAAACATTAAAACCCCTTTTAGGACTTCAGTTAAACGTCATTTAACAAGGATTCTCACAGCCCTAGATATAGATTTGTTGAACTGAGACGTTTTCCGGGGGGCTTTGCATAGACAGTGTGAAAGAGAAATAAAAATAAGTTAATAACTAGATGAAAACTAGAGATAAAAACATTAAAAACATCGAATGTATGATGACAGTTCAGATGACATTTCAGCAGAAACACAAAGTGACCTTGTATCATCTGTAATATTTGCATTATTTGTCAGGTAAAATACATAAATGAACATCTAGTCCTGTTTCTACGTCAAATTCCTTTGACTCTGCCGTAGTCGGCCTTCACAGATGAGGACGACTTAGACTGCAGACAGCGGAGTCGACTTTGTTTAAAGTCCCAGAGGAGCAGCTTCTGATCAATGCAGGGAACACGAGGACCTGCTGGAGAACAACCAACACTGGTCAGGGAGTGGACTGTCCTGGATGCGGTGGCGGCGCAGGGCGGTCCGACCAGAGGGTCACTCTCTTGTCAACTCATTGTGAAATAAAGGGCCCAAAAATCCTTAAAAAACTGGAACAATAAACTGCACTGGACTCATAATGCTGATGCACTTTACAGGAAGGGCCAGAGCAGACTCTACCTGCTGAGGAGGCTGATGCCTTTCGGACTGCAGGGGGCGCTATTGAAAACCTTTGTTCTGTGGTGCATCTACCATGGTGTCTGTCAGAGCAGCAGCTTCTCCACGACTGAGAGGAAGCGGTCAGATCAGCTCATCAGGAGGGCCAGCTCTGTGACTTTATATTCTTTATAATCTTTGTATGAATCTACTTGTGTTTATTGTCTGTCACTTTGCTGCTACTGCACAAAAATATCCCTGTTGTGAGACAATAAAGATAACTATGTTCTAAATACTTTCAGGAGACAAGAATATGATGTATGATTTAAAGCTTCAGCACTGACCTTTGACATCAAGCATCACCCGTTTCTTCTTCAGACCACTGGGAACACTGGGACCATCGACTGGACCCTCAACATCCTTTCTCTCTCCTCTTTGAGCCCTTGGTATTTCTGGAGCTTTCTGGCTCCTTCTTGTTGTTGCTGTCGCTGAGGATCGCTACATCTATCACTGCTGCTGAGCCGTCACCTGCTATGGGTCTGGATCTTAAAGTCCCTCTGGATCTTGGCCCAGTCCTTCTCCATCTCTCCCAGTGGTGTCTCCCAGTTTGACTGGGGGATCTCCAGCCCATTCTCTGCACAGATGCTCCTGTAGACTCCCCACACCTGGTTACTTTTACCTGCCAGAATCTGGCATCCTGGTGGATGTGTTGGGTTGTTTCAGGGGAAACCTTTCCACGGCCTGGATCTTTGTTCCGGTCTGGTGAACAGCCATGGGTCCCTGCAGCCAGCTGCCCTCTTGGTGTGCAGCAGCCTCCTCCCCAGTAGATGGCAGTCTGTAGCAAAGGTCTGTCTGAGAAGATGAAGGATCTGAACAAAGTGAGGCTGTCACGCTCTGTAGACCTCATCTTTTCACAGAGAGGACTGTGGCAACACTGGAATTGGCAGACTGGGATGGTGTCCCAGTTTAAGAAACTGGACCAGAGAGTCCCAGCCTCCAGCGGTATCCGACCCTCGTTCACCCAACCAGGAGCTGAGTCCACATTCCCGGCAGAAGGCTGAGTCAGCTCTCCGACACTCATCTTTGGTCCTGAGAAATGGATCATGACTGAAAGAAAGATCCCAGATGTGTGTATCTCCTGCTGGACTCAGATACGGCGCCATCATCTGGGGGAGGTGGAAACCGCAGCTTCTGTGCATCCAAAGGAGTTTCAACGGACCTGGACCTGGTACCGCTGATCGACCAGCTTAGACAGGCTGGGCCAGTCAAACAGTCTTCAGAAAACCCAGTGGACCAGAACCAGCAAATGACAGTACCACCCCAAACCATCACTGACTGTGAACGCTTCACTCTGACCAGAACCAGCACCGGGGGTTCTGGTCCTCCCTGCTCTCCCTCCAGACCCTGACACCTCCAAAGGGAATCAAAGCTTTGCTTTCATCTGAAAACAGAGTTTGGACCTCTGAACCAGAACAGCCAGGTTCTGGTTGTCTTCAGCCCAAGTGAGACGCTGCTGTTCTGGATCATTCTGAGCCTTTTGGACCCAGAGGTTCTGGCTGCAGCCTCATCCCGTCCTGGTGAAACGCACCAGAGTTTGGAGGTTTTCATGACCTGCAAAAGCACAAAATATCAACAAATGTTTTTATCTAATGTTTCATTACATGTGAAATAAGACTAAAAACACCTTTCAGGTAGTGTCTATATATTAATTACTCCTGAATATTGTTCTAGAAATGTTTAGTTCCTCTCTTAAATTTCCCCACTTGTTATAAATAAAAAAATCTGCCAGTGAAACAGAACTTCTTTTTAGATCAATTATCAACGTAAACAGGCTGACAGATGTTGCTGATACCTTTAAATTAATTGTCCCACATTTCAAAGTGCCCTGAAGATGTTTGCACTGCAGAAACTAGACAACAAATATTTGGTAAGATTTAGTGTTTTTTACCAGGATCATCAACATCACAGGAAGGAAAGGTTTGAAATGTTTCATGTTGTTATGGATCTAATCAGGTTTATCAGGTGTTGTTGTTTTAGGTGCTTTTCAGATTTGTGTCAGCAGGGGGCGCAGCTTCACCACTTGACAAGTTTATTTTGGAGATTTCTCACAGATCCAACCAATCTGCAGCAGCGAACACAGAGCTGCAGATCCAGATTAAACCCACTTCCTGAATGTTTGCTTGATGCTGTTATTAAATCGTAATTGTCTTTATCTGAAAAATTCACAACAAATGTCAGCTGAAGGTTTTTTACATCAGTAGCAGGTTCAGATCAGGCCAGCAGGTCAGAAGATCGTGACCCTGATGGAGTCAGTCAGCTGCTCTGACCTCCACTGGCTCACTGTGTGTGTGTGTGTGTGTGTGTGTGTGTGTGTGTGTGTGTGTGTGTGTGTGTGTGTGTCAGGACTCTGGGTTCTGGGTTTTCTGTTCCTCTTTAGTTGGTTCAGTTATTTTCTAGTTCACCTCAGTGCTGCTGGTTCTCCTGGGTTCATTAGTTCATGTTTCTTTATTATTTTCTCCTCTCGGCTCCTCATAATGTCATGTAATTTTATTTATGTAGCACATTTTCAGAAACAAGGCAGTTTAAAATGCTTAACATAAATTAGAGGAAATACAAACAAAACTAAACCGAAAGAAAGACAAAAAGCTCAAAGTATAGAACTACATATTGGTTTCCATGTTTAATAAGAATAAATAGTCCATAATTTATTAAATAACAGGAGTTTGTTGTACCTCCTGCTCTGAGTAGTATTTCTAGTTATGTCTATTTCTTATGGTTATGTTTATCACTCTGGTTTCTTTATTGTTTAGTGTCAGTGTAACCCTGTAACCGTGACCTCATCAGCCCCGGGCCGTTGGCCCCCCTCTGCCTCCTCATTCTCAGTCACTACTTGGCGGTTCGTCACCCCACCTCCCCTCGTCCCTTCCTCCTGGTTCCCATGTCTCTGTTTGTGGGTTGATGTTTCATTGAACATGATGTTGAGGGCGACTGTGGCTGCGTGGGAAGAGTCGTCATCTTGTGATTGGAAGGTTGTAGGTTCGATTCCAGCTTCCTCCTCCACTTAACGCCTACTGATGTGACTCTAGTGCGGTGGTTCTTAACCCTTTCTGAGGTACCGAACCCCCCAGTTTCATACGCGCATTCACCGAACCCTTCTTACTCCTCCCCCCGCCGACACACAAAATAATTTGCGGTATTCTGATTTAGTAATGTAATCATATTAGTTGTGTTACCACCCCCACGCCACTAGAGGCAGTAGCAACCCCGAAAAGATGCGACTAAGGAGCAGATTTAGAAGTACACCGAAAACTACAGAATTTGGTAAAAACGGTGAGTTTTGCTGAAGTAATTAAAGACACAAGTTCAAATCCCTGCTGAGAGAGGAGCTCCTTCCCGCAGCTCTGATTGGCTCAGCAATGTAACGTGATCCTCTGATTGGCTCAGCAATGTAACGTGATCCTCTGCAGCAAGTGATGGCAAAGCGGGGCGTCATCACGACTTTACCCAGTGCGTCTTTACCTCCAGAGGCTCCGCCGAACCCCTGGGGTTCATCGAACCCAGGTTAAGAACCACTGGACTAGTGTAAAGTCAAAGTGACTGGAAAAGCTCTATATAAGTTCAGTCCATTAAACGTCTCCTCCCAGCTGCAGTTGGTTCACACATCATGACTGGAAGTAGCTCTGCTGCAGCACAAACATCTTTTCACATCCACTGACCAGTCCAATCAGAGAACGAAAGGGGGCGGAGCCTAAGTTCAGAAATCGGATCCGTCCAGCAGAAACTCTCTCTCTTGTTCCGGATCAGCTTCCTGTCTAATCAGACAGGAAGTTATGTCACATCCTGCAGTTACAATCTACCTGAAAACATTTTTACATCGTTCAGCTGGAAGTTGAACTTTGACCCCAGTCCCAGCTCTTCTGCAGCCTCCACAGGTTTTCCTTTAGGATTGTCCTGATTTAGCTCCACCTGTCGCCCCTGTCCCACAGCATGATGCTGCCACCACCATGCTTCACCGTGTGGATGGTATTTTCAGATTCCGTTTCCTGCCAGTTTGTGTCGAGCAGCAGCTGGTGTTGAAAACCTGGACCTGAAGGTCTGAGGCTTCCTGGCTGAGCCGGACAGAAGGAACCGGGTTTCATCCTGGTTCTCTGCTGCCGAGCAGGAAGCTCACCTTCCTCTGCTCCACTGAACAGAAACAAACTCCAGAAACGTTTTCCGTCTGATTTTATTCTATAAAAATATTTTACATACACATTTCAGATATAAAATTAAGTTGCATTTGGAGCAGACTGCCAGTGGGCCGACATCAGAACTCTGAGCTGCATCATTTTATTTTATTTTACATTCTGCACGTTTCTAAGCGACAAAAATATGAAGATTTTCCATGAAAATCCAACCTGCAGCTGGTTTGTCCTGTAAACATGTCGACTAACAGGATGGATGAAACGTTGGCAGCAGGATGCTGGAAGAGGAACTTCTCCTGGTTCATCGGTCCATTTCACAGAAAACCGGGTCGGAGGTTCTAAACCTGCTGGCCTGATGGGAATCAGTTTATTCTCTGCTTCCACCATGTGGTGAACTTTGACCTGACCTTAATCTGAATGTTGTGCAGCCAGAGAAACGGTCGGCTCTGAACACGGTGCAGGGTTACTGGGGATGCTAACTGCTAACGCTAACATCAACCAGAGGCCTGGAGCTTCTGCCTGCTGAACACAAAGAAACTAAATCCATAAATAAAAACAATCACAATCCGTCGGTGAATCTCTGATTCTGCCTCCATCTGAATGTGATCAGAAATAATCAGGTTCATCTGACGGACGTTTAGTTTCATTAACTGTTTTACAAACATTTTATCTTTTATAAATGTATCCACAACAGAAAACAAGACTAATAAATTATTCCATTTTTATATTTCTAAGCCCGGCTGGGAACCCGTGGTTCCGACCCGCCTCCAGCACTGAGAGACGGGTCAGAAACGGTCCGGCTGAACGCAGCGAGCCTGGAACGCTGCAGGAACCACCGACGAGAGAGAACCTAATGTAGCACCAGAACCAGAACCCTGAGCAGAACCAGAACCAGAACATTTGTCCTGGATGTGATGGACTTTCTTCTCCTGGGATTCAAAGCAGCAGGTCGGGTTCTGGTTCTGAGGAGCAGGACGGGTCTCTGAGGCTGATGCTGGAGGAGAAACGGCCTAGTTAAAGTCCAGTTCAACCTGATGCTGCAGGTCTCAGACCTCAGCACCATCAGCGGATGAAGAGTAGAAGTTCTCAGCCAGTTTCTTCATCCTCTTGTTGCAGAGCGGCGGGCGGCTCGGCCCGGTGGGGGTTCTGGGCGCTGAACGAAACATGACAGGTCCGCCATCATCATCAGGAGGGGAGTCCACTTCATCGGCCTGCATCTTCGCGCTGCCTCCTCTCAGCTCGTCTTTGTTCAACTTTGGATGGAAGCAGGTGTAGTAAACGATCCTCAGAACCAAACCCAAGGCGTAGCCGGCGACCACGGCGCCCCAAACGACGGCCGCCTGCCGACGGGACAGCTCAAAGTCAGGAGGATCCCAGCTCATCTTCCAGAACCACAGGCCACAGAGGACAGAGACGTCCAGCAGGATCCAGCAGTGGTACAATGTGGCCCAGTTCCTAGTCTTCCCGTCCACCACGTTGAACCAGTCGAAGTACCAGATGAGACCCACAGTGGCCCGGTACAGCCACTCCCCCCCCACGGTGTCCATGAAGTGTGTGTCGGCCCACCAGGCGAAGTAGCAGAAGAGCAGCCAGGAGCAGATGAAGTGTGTGAAGATGAAGCAGGGAAACACGGAGGCGAAGAGGGCGAGCGCCACGATGCGGGCGGCCAGGAGCAGCAGGTTCCAGGTGAAGAAGACGAGCGAGGACAGAATGGACTGCTCCTTCTTCTCCGGCAGGAAGGAGCGTAAGCAGCGGTGGTAGGTGGTCACGCAGTACGCCACGGCCGACAGCGAGCCAATGGTCTTCAACACTGAGGAGGAAGAGATGCAGAAGGTTCAGAGGTCATCACACACAAAGCTGCCTTCACACACACCCAACATGAAACCAGCAGCCGTTGCACAGGGCTGTCACTTCCTTGTTTCCAGTCCTCTAGTTCAGTATTCCCTTTACCACGGTGTTTTACCTGTAGTTCTTATTTCCGCCACCCGGTGGCTATCGGAGTGCGTTAATGCGTAGATCTGAGGATTAAATATTTCACAGATCAGAGTGATGAGCAGTTTAATCCAGCTCTCCAGCAGTGTGCATCTGTTGGAAGTAAGTTATATGATTTGTGCTTCACCCTTTTTGCCTTAGAGATGCATCTACGCACCGTTTGGTCAAGTATTATGAATATTTTACATTAATTTGAGGAGCTAATCTCTATTCACAGCAATGCATAATTATGATCTACTTCATGTAGTTCATGGCTTTGCCGAATAAAAACTTGGTCATTTTTATTGTGAGACTATTTTCAGGAGTTGTGGTTAATATTTATCTGTATTAATTTTTTTCATTTTTATATTACTTAGCTCTTTACTTTGTGGTAGAATTTGGTCAGAAACGATCCACAACAAATGTCATCTGAGGCTGCCTTGCACCGACGCCCCCTGCTGGGCCCCCGGCCCACCAGCAGGTAAGGTTTAGTACTTTGCCCAATGACACAACGTCAGAGGCAGACAGAGCGAGAATCGAACCGTCGACTCACCTGCAGGAGAATCTGCTACCGCCGTCGTCCCACAAGTCACAAAGATCTCTGGCTACTCGACTCAGTCACAGCAGGTGAAATCACATCAAATCAATCTTTATTTTTATGCTCATGAAAACATCAGGCTTCCTGGTGCAACCTCAAAGCCAAGTGCCAATCATGTGAGAGGAAGCATCTGGATATCATGCACGAGGTTAGTACCAGACATGTCATCCTCCAGACCGTAGGTACTGGAGACCAGATCATATAATACTCCTAGGATGCATCCAGCCTGGACCTTCAAGGGAAGCCTGAAGGTCTCACTCCACACAGTTCAGCAAGAAGCCGTATCATCCATGGTGGTTTCTCTCTCAGTAGCTCCTGCATCACAACCTAGCAAGTCTTCCTAGAACAAACTTTCACAGCTAAACTTAGCCTGACATACCTAGAAATGTTGTCATGTCAGAGACATTCCACTGCCATCCATTAAAGATGTTTAATGTTCCTGCTGATTGGGTCAGATTAGCACAGTACATCTCAGTCTCCCTGGTGGACCTGCAGCAGCTCACAGGCTAGGATGGACTTTACAAGGCCAAGTCTGTTACGCCTCCAACTGTCCCCACAGCAGTGCCTGGCGACAAGAGTGACCCTCCGGAAGCTGAGCTATGTCACATGGAGAAGCTGTCCTGCCCCAGCTGCATGGGACAGAGAAACGGCCAGTAGAAGACCTAGAGAAAGTTTCCATTTACTCCAAAGACATCCACAAGCTCACTGATGGTGGTTACATCAAAGCCAAGGCAAAGGAGAGTAACTACTCATGGTTCATTACACACCACATTGTAGGGCTGGGGGATATGAGGAATATCTAATATCCTGATATATTTTTGCTATATCACGATACATGATATATATCACGATATCCTTACATGAGCTCCAATGTTATTTTAAACTGGACTCCTGGTACCAGGATGTCACCCACGCAGGTTCCCGCCTCCATTTCTCTGCTAGACTTAAATATAAGCCCATATAAAAAGGAATGCAGTGTTTTGCTATGAACTATCTACACTATGACTAGATAACAAGGTGAGAAATAAGTTAAATAGCGAGGGAGAGGGAAGTAGGTCAGTTATGCTTGACTTTGACAAACTTAAATAGATGTGCTGTGGAATAAGGTGTGTTTTGGTTCAGCTTAAAAATAAAAAGGGCGGCCTACATACTAACTGACAGATCATTAGTAAATTAGCTAATCAGTCACAGCTGTGTTAGCATGGCTAATAGCAGCGGTGGCTAATCTACCACCGCTGTGTTAGCATGGCTAATAGCAGCGGTGGCTAATCTACCACCGCTGTGTTAGCATGGCTAATAGCAGCGGTGGCTAATCTACCACCGCTGTGTTAGCATGGCTAATAGCAGCGGTGGCTAATCTACCACCGCTGTGTCAGTGTGGCTATTTTTCCCACTGCATAGCACTAAGTGGATCCTACCAAGTCTCCAGGTTTCACTTTAACGGTCTAGTTCTACTGGTTATGAACGGCATGTAAAAAAATAGTCTGATTAGGTGGTGAATTAAATCTGTGGTTCAGCCTTTTGCCGCAATAGTTTTATAACATGTTTCGCAAATTACCTCATTTTGTTCGACATCCTCCATATAAAATCCAAACTACTGCCAAGTTATTGATTCTGTTCGGAACTAGACTAGTTCATCTGATTCCTCTTCAGTTTCAGTCTCATTCATCGCCTCAAACTCTCGCCGTCCCCATGTTTGTTTTCTCCGCAGTGTGATTGGTAGAAAATGTTCAGGTTGGGAGGGGCGAGGGACTAGTGGTGCATTCATAGGCTGTCGGGTAAACCAAACTCGCAGTGAATTTGACGGCGAAAGTTTATTATTTGAACGACAATTTATACTCAACAGTTGCGATATAGCCATTTTAACTACCGTAAATTGAAAATATCGCGATATATCGAGTATAATCGATATATCGCCCAGCCCTACCACATTGTGCAACACAATGTGTTGCACAATGTGGTAGGGAAATCGCCATAGCAACCAGTGAATTACCTTCAATAAGCAGAGCATCAATGGCCACCTTCTCCAAGGGCCCACACTCTGAGCCAGCCTTCTGGGAACCTCCTTAGGTTCCAAGAACATGCAGGAGCCACCAGCAGCAACGTGAAGGGAATGTTTCGTCAAGTATGCCTGCTGGATGAGGACAAACTCTTCCTTCGTTTCCTGTGGTGAGATGCTAAAGTTTACCAGGAACCCACCATCTCTGGATGGAAAGTGCTCCCATGTGCAGTCCAATGTTGTGCCAGCGTTGAATTATAAACTCATGTCTAGAGACACATTGGACCAGAAGAACTGTTTTCAGACCCTCCAGACAATCACACCAAGCATCTGCTGAATCGACTGAACAGATTATTCCTAGAAGGTGAATTTGAACTCAGGGAATCTTTCAGTAATGTTCTTGCTGTCATATGACAGCTGTCCAAAGAGTCAAGATCCGAGAGCCACACACAACAAATGGCTGACCCGCGAACACTTGGGACTGTTGTGGCACTGCAAGCTAGACAAACTTTGCTACAAGCAGTACAACAGTGACTGTCTTGAACCAACTATGCACAGCCCCCACTATCTTACAAAACAATACGATCCTCTGGGATTTATTATTCCACATACAATCAGAGTTAAGATCATTGTGCAGCATCTTTGGGACAAGAAGACACTTCCAGAAGCGTCTGCTCCAAGCTTGGAAGTCATAGATACTCAATAGTCCCAGATGACCCAACTGGCTTCTGTCATCTGGGACTGCTAAGTGACTGTAGGCAAAGGACAGAGCCGCTACGTTGACTCAGCCACTACTTCTGTCCTCTCACCCAGTCTCCAAACTCCTGATCTATCATTATGATAATCAACTGGACCGCCTGCAGAGCGTGGAGAAAGTCCTGACTGTTTGGAGGAGAATCTGCCAGGAAGCACCAGCAACTGTGTGGAGTGCAGAAAGGCCGACCTCAAGGATGCCAGACTCACCTCCCTCCTTTTCTGACCGATTTTCTATTTGACTGTTTTGGCCCCATGAAGGTAAAGGCAGCAGGATGCAGAGAAAGCAGGTGGGGCATCCCTGCTCTGGAGAACGTCAGCACAAAGTTCCCTCTGACCTGCTGCTGGGTTCCCTGACGTTCTCTACAGAACCAATAGAGCTGCTCCCTGCAGAGGTCGCCGGGTCAGAAGCCATTAATCCAGCTATGCTGGGTTTCAGAGAGTTATTTAGGGCTCTGTAGATGTTTGGCCCACAGAAGGTTCTGATGTTGAAGGTTCAACAATCTAAATATCTTTGTCTCCAAAAAAGGAGGAAATCGCCATAGCAACCAGTGAATTAACGGCGTTTTCTCCAACTATGCATCCTTTCCTAACTCTGATTAAAACGCATTAAAGTCAAAATAGGTGAGAACTCAACAGGAAGCTTCACATAGACTCTTCAAAATAAAAGTCTTTCACAGCTTAGATTAATATAAATGCCATTTTTATCAACAGAGTGACTCATTTTCTGATTGATGACCAGATTTTACTGCTGATGCTGGTAAAGGTTAGAGGAAATGTGAACCTTGGAACGGCTCCAGCGACCCGTCCTGCAGGAGGACGGTGAGCATGAGGACGATCTGAGGCGCGCTTTCTGAGAAGGTCTCGATGATCCGCAGCATGCTCAGGTCCTGGTTCAGGAACGCCGCCGTGTCTTCCTCCTGGCTGTCACAGTCGGAGCGGCAGCTCTTCACAGACGTCTCCATGACGGCTACATGTCTGAAATGAAACCGGTTCCATCAAGTTAATAATTGGCTGGATTTCATAATAATCATCCACCTGTTTCAAGAGCAGGTTGAACTTGACTGGATTCCCTCAGAACGCAGCAGCGTGACTCAGGAAACGAGCCGTCCGTCACATTTCCTCCATCGGCCTGCGGAGGTTCCCACATGACGCAACAGGAGCTGATACCAAACACCTGACTGGCTGTGTGTGTGTGTGTGTGTGTGTGTGTGTGTGTGTGTGTGTGTGTGTGTGTGAGAGAGACAGGCCATAATATGAATGCATGTTACTCCAACACATGATTAAGTTCAGAAACCACAACTCAGAAAACATCTCAACAAGATGAGATGGAGAGGAATAAAATCATTATTTTTACTCTTCAGCTGCATTTTAAACATTCAGTTAAGCTCAAAATTATTCATACTCCTGACAGATTTTTGGCCTAAATTAAAAATGTAATTTAATCATCAGGTTTCCTCTTCAGCCCCATTAGTGTTGATAAGATTAGGGTGATGGTGCTGAGGCCCTCCAGAAACACCAGAGGAGAAATGATCCATGCAAATATAAAAAATATGAAATAGTTGTTGACATTAATAAATGTTATTTCGGACAAGCTGGTCTTATTTCTACCAGACACCAACTTCTTGGTAAAATAAAAATAAGTTGAAATGAAAATCTGATGCAGAGATGAAATATTTTGGGCTTTACTGTAATTTTTATGTTATTAAAACTTTACTGACTAACATATAAATACAGTACTTTAGGGTTTTTTATGGTATTGTAACTTATTCATAAATTATTTGTATTTTTATACACCTTATGTTTGAATCGAAATAAATGCGATAAAAAAATAAATGTATTTCAAGTTCAGCGTGTTTTATATTTTAAAATATTAGGAAACACATTTAAAGCTTTTTATTTTAATTAATTCCGTGCGTTTCTTTGAATGAAGATAATAACTGAAGGTAACTGAGTAAATATCTTCACTCTGCTCGTTTGGAGCAGAAACTGAAGCTCTCCATGTCTCCGGTTCTGTTCGCCTGTTCTCGGACCGGTTCGGGTTTTCCTCCTGCTTTTTACACAGCAGGACTTCAGCTGCCATTTCCTGTAAAGTGAAAGGTTTTACAGAAAGACAAACCGAGGTCCTCCCTCTGGTTACATAAAGCTCCTGCTGAACTGAAGCTGTGGAGGAACTTTGGACGCACCTGACGTAGATCCCCAGCTGGACCCAGTGCAGAACCCCGAGGCCAGGCTTGGCGGACTCCTCCACTCTGGTCTTCATCTCAAACTGATCATAGCTGTACCAGAGCCAGCTGTAGAGCTGCACCAGCACCGAGGAGCCAATGAGCAGCACCAGCAGCACACCGAGGCACAGGTACGATCCCTCCTTGTAAAACTCCACAGCAGCCAGGACGTCCAGAACGATGTCGACCAGGAACAGAGGCAGCCCGGCGGTGGTCAGGAGACAGTCCACTCGAAACGTCATGTTTAGTCCCTGAAATACTACATTACTAAACTGACAGCCCGTTAAATACAAGACCGAAAGGAAGAGCCGAAGTTCAAAAAAAGTTACTAACTCCACCCACAGAGGAGGCGTCTTAAAGGGATACGGAAGCTCCAGTGAAAACGATCTGCCAACAGGAGTATATGGAACTACATTGGAGCCATAAAGGCTGTTCAGAGTTTGTAAAAAACAGAAAACAAAAACAAAAAAAAAACATTTAAAGTGAAAAAAGGAGAAGACTTGCCACTTCCAATATGGCGGACTAGCTGATGTGTCGCAGTGACCATCAGCAATCAATCAATCTTATTTATAAAGCAGCCTTCATACTAAACAGCTCAAAGTGCTGCACAGATAAAAAAAATAAACTGTTCCCACACATGGAAAAAACACAGCTGCACAGAAAATGCAGACTGAGCAGAAATGATCCAATACCGGAAATGCAGTAAAAAAATCGGGTCTTGAGCTGCTCTTAAAGGCGGCACCGTTTCCTGCAGCCCTCAGGTTCTCCGGCAGACGTTCAGCAAACTGGGCCTTGGAAATAAGCCTCACCATCAGTGAGCTCTGACTCTGGGACTGTTTTCACGTTTATTACAGGAAATAAAATAACATCTACAAAACAAGAGCAGCACAGAAATTTAACATGATTGATGAACAAACATAGCAGTTAATTGACACCAATTTGGTTTTATTTCCATTTTTTTGAAATACTTATGAGATTTGCCTGTCAGATTATCAGGAAAATTACAGCATATTTAATTACAGCAACATCCTCAACCAACCGTGGATCCATTTTAAGACATTTCCAGTTTCTAGATCCTGAATGGGAATATTTTGTCCAACTTGAGGACTGAAACTGAAACATTAAAATTAGAATCTGACACTGAAAAAACAAAACACTTCAATCTGTAAAGCAGTTTTGAACTTTTTTCAGTTTCAATATTTTCTTAATTAAATTTTCTTAAACTTTATGGAGCATATTTAGTTCCATACCAGGAAAAACAGCAGCAGGAGGAACTCTGGAAAAACTGTAAACATTTTCATTTAACTCGAGATTTACTGTAGAAAACACAAACCAGATATGTCTTTTCTACAGCGACCCATGGTCGCCATGGCGACCCATGGTCACCATGGCGACCCATGGTCACCATGGCGACCCAAGGTCACCATGGTGACGCATCATTCAGCAGGCTGCATGGCGGTCCGGCTGCCTTTCATTCAGACGCTTCATCAAAACAACCAGAGTTTTTACTCATCAGCTGGTCGTTAGTGTCGTCAACCTGTCTCTATGGCAACCAGACCTGGAGCTGGAGCGTTTCCTTCAGATGGAGAACCTGTTGGCTAGAACCGGTCAGAATCATTCTGACCAGCTTACAGAACCAGAACCAGCAGCGCTGCTGTTAGTGGTCCGGTCCAGTCCGGTCCGGTACATCCTGAGATCCTTCCTGAGGTAGCTTATTAGATGTTTCTGGCTGGTAAAGGGAGTAAACCACTGGTTCTGGTTCTGGTCTCACTAAATGTTCCTGAGACGTCCAGATGTTGGAAAATCTTCGAAGTTTCCTGGAAACCGATGAGCCGAGCCGGAAGAGCCAATCAGAGCCCAGCCTGGTTCTGGTTCCGACCCAGGAGCAGAAAGTTCTGGATCAACTCTGGACCACTGGATGAGTCTGATGTGTGTCTGAGGCAGACAGCCCCCCCTAGTGTCCTGCAGAGGGACGCTCACTGAAGGAAGCTTCAGGAAAGCAGGATCATTCCGATCAATCAGCCGGAATATTGGGATAAAACTGAAGCTTTTCGGAAAGATCAGATTCCTGAATGATGCTGGTGACTCTGACATTCCCACAGAGACGTTCCGGTTTTCAACTTATAACACCAACGCCGCGGCAACAGGGCCGGATTGAGAAGGATAAGGAACCTGGGCTGGAGCCAGTTTGGTGCCCCGCTCAAAAATCAACTTCAGAAATACTAAAACACTAAAATACTAAAATATTAAAATAAGACATTTTATTCATAAATATGTGAGCTAACGCATCAGCAGGAGCACATGTGAGAAGGCTCCATGTTTGGAGTATCAGAAACATTAATAAAAATGTGAGCCAATGAGAAACATGTATTCATTACAAAATATTCTAGTCTTTGGGGCCCTCAAATCGTGTTGCCCTGGGCGACTGCCACTGTAAGGCCTTTGGAAAGGAAGCTGCTGCAGCAGAACAGGAAGCTGTGCTCAGGAATGAGACGGCATGGCCCCGCCCACTCCCCTGGCCCTGGCGCGGCGCCGGTCGGTGTAGAAATGCGCGGCATGGCAGGCCATACGCTGGTTGAGCAGCAGGGCGGCCGGTGCTCTGTCCTGGATGGGGAGGGCCCTAGAGGCCACATCGGAGTCGGGCAGGTCGTGTGGGTCGCGGTCCAGCGGCCGCGGCAGCGTGGGGTGGAAGCCGCAGTAGTAGAGCGTTTTGAGCAACAGCCCCAGCAGGTAGCAGAGCGGCAGGGCAAGCAGCACCGCGGCGCCGTACGCCGCCGTCTGGACCGGGTCTCTGTAGGTCCACCAGGTGGCGAGGAGGACGGCCACGTCAGCCGTGACGAAGGCGTGGTAGATGAGGCTGCGGCCCAGCGTCCGGCCCTCGGCCACGTTGAACCAGCTGAAGTACCAGATGAGGCCCACGGTGGCGCGGTACAGCCGCTCGCCGCCGGCGCTGTCCATGAAGCCGGTGCCCTGCCGCCACGCCCACAGAACCAGCGCCGGCCACAGCAACAGGAAGTGGAGGGCGATGAAGCCGGGCAGGACGGAGGAGAAGAGAGCGAGGGCGGCGACCCGCGGGCCAATCAGCAGCAGGTTCCACAGGAAGTAGACGATGGAGGAACCCCAGCGCTGCTCAGCCTTGTCTGGCAGGAAGGAGCGCAGAGAGCGGTGGTAGTCCACCACCATCCAGGCCACGGAGGCGGCGGAGGCCGCCACGCTCACAACTACACACACACACACACACACACACACACACACACACACACACACACACACACACACAGCACTGTAAGTCAGAGTCAATATGATTTAACTTCGGTTCTGCTAACAGTCCAGTGAACGCTTGGCTTCTTCGTGAATCACAGCTTTGACTTTAATCAGATAAATTAAGTGGATTTAACTTATTATTTTACAGAAATATACTGAGTGTTTGATTTAAATCAATGGGAGCCTTTTGAGGTAAAAACACTAAAAATTAACTTGGTTAATTTGAAATAAGATGGAAGGTTTGTGACAGTCGGCATTGGACAGCCAGGTATCCCACAATGCATTGTTCCACCAGCAGCAGCAGCTAATTAAAACACCTTCATTGGTCACAAAAATCAACTTAAAGATGTTTAATCTTTGTAAACTCCATTGATTCATCAGGAACGAGGCGATCAGCTGCTGTTTGGTTTTACAGGGTTAAGGTACGTCAAACTGAACAGAGTCGTTTATGAACTTTGATAATTTTACTAAAAAACTGAGCAAACTATCACTGCTGCCTACTTCCTGTCAAAGTTTGAGGAGAGAAACAGATAAAAAGCCAGGAACTGCTTCAATCAGGTCATTTTACTCTGACTCCGCCTCCTTCCTCCACCACACCCTGAATTATTATTATTATCTTTATAATAACCAGGTTTGTCCCATTGGGATCAATAGATGTGGCCAGGTTTTGGTTTTGTAGTGACTATTTGCCCAAAACTTAAATCCAAAAATAAAAAAACTTAAGACTTCAAGGTGATCAAAGCAAAAGGTCAATTCAACTCAAACAGCCACTGGATGAACTGCAGGTTTCTGGCTTACGCAGTTCCAAAAATACCAAAAGTCAAAAATGCAGTTCTTTGTTGCTTTATTCCACAGTTCAGGCAAAACAAGTTACAGGCTGATAGACTGAGGACTGGTAAAAAACCATGTGACCCCCAACGTGCATGATGAGCTACCTATTTATACTGTGAAACACCCACGTCCCAAACTGAAATTAATTAACTAATGAAGTGGATTACTAGACAAAAACTTATTCTAATGTAAGTACACCCTGTGCTTTGTGAAACGCTAACGGCTGAGCTAACTACCAAGCTAACTGCTACACCAAAAATAAAAGCTTGAAGCTCTAACCAGATTCAGAGATTTTAATAAGCATCACAATAAAAACTTTAAGTTTGTGCTTATAACAGCTGGTTATGTTTACTGGGAGGTTCTGGGCAAACTGGGACTCACACTGGACGGTCCTGGCCCGGTTGGTGCGCAGCATGACGTAGACCATCAGGACGAGCTGGGGGGCGCTCTCACAGAACGTCTCGATCAGACGGAGCATGCTCAGATCGTGCGTCAGGTAGATGGCATACTCTGACCCCGCCTCCTTCCTCCACCACACCCTGAAGCCCTGACGGATGGCCGACACGTGTCTGCAGGGGGAGAGGGTCCGACCGGTCAGAACCACACCCCAACACCACCCTAACACTTCCCTAACACCACCCAAACACCACACTAATACGTCCCTGACACCACCCAAACACCTCCCTAAAACCACCAAAACACCTCCCTAACACCACACTAAAACGTCCCTAATAGGTGTTAGTCTATTAGGGACTAACACCTATTAGGGTGGTCTGAGCAGTCGTCTGCTGACGACTGCTCAGAGATACAACCTGACCGGAGGAGGAGGAAGAGAAAGAAAGAGGAGGAGATTATTATAATAATAATCATCATCATTATGATTATTAATGTTAGAGCCATAAATAGGAAATATTTAAGTTATTTGTAAGATGGTTTGTTTGTATTTTATAAAATTTAGTTAGGACGATTGATATTTGTTTAGGCATTTTTATTGTGCAATTTAGTTTTATTTTGAAAGGCTTACTTCCTGTTGGGTTGTATATTGCCTTAAAAAAAGGAACCATTGTTCGGATTGCTTAGACACAGTTGGATTACTTAGACACGGAGCAAAAACAGTTTTTGACCGTGTAGACTGTGTATTTTTGGAAAGAAAGAAAAAGGACTGATTTATCGTCATTTTTGTATTTGTATTTTTTCCAGATAGAGGTTTTTGTTAAATTCACGGTTCGCACGCGTCCTTTACTTCCAGTGTCTAGGGAATGACACATATTGGATCTGTTGCCATAACAATTATCATAATCATAATAACTTATTATTGTTATAGTAATAATAAATTACTATTGTTATCATTATAATAACTTATTGTTATTGTAATAATAAAGGCACTCTGAAGACGCCATCCCCACTGTGAAACATGGTGAGGGCACTATCATGCTGAGGGGAAGCTTTGAGGTAAAGTCAGAACAGACCTGATTAGGAAGCTGCAGAGCAGCAGGAAGTGTCAGGATATTACTAAACTGGTTCGGAACCAGAACCAGGACCGGTACCTGCAGAGGAAGCCCAGCTGAAGAACATGCAACAGGCAGAACAGCTTGGCTCGGTCCCCGCAGAACACGCTCCCTGTCCCGGTGGTCTGCTCGCTGAACCCCGGCAGCTCCCGGTCGTACTGGAACCAGAACCAGCTGAACATTTGAACCACGACAGAGGATAGAACCATGAGGCCGACCAGCACCCCGAACCAGAACAAGTCCCCCCGGCAGTAGAACTCCTTGGCCAGCCATAGGTCGGAGCCCCAGTCCAGCAGGAAGGTGCAAACTCCCACCACCGAGAAGGCGAAGTCGATCCAGGAGTACCTGGAGGCGGTTCTGCTCTCCATCTGGACCGGGCGGTTCGTAGAACCGGGGGCAGACCTGTTGCAGCGAGGCTAGCAGCAGCAGGGCTAACATTGGACCGTTACCGTGCGGAGCATCTCCGGCGTCCCTGCGGGGGAACCACTAACTTCCCACAACTTCCTCATTCCTGTGGATCTCTGCCGGGAGAAGTCGGAAACTGTCGGGGGGAAAAATTGGGCGGAACCAATCTGCTTCAGAAGTTCGACCAGAACGTGGAAGATATTTCTTCGTAATGATCTCAGCCGTTAGTAGCTCCGCCCCCCTCCCTATCAGAGCGGGACAGCACGGTGATAAGTTCAAACCACATCTCTGCATTGTCCCTGAACTTCTACATAATTATTGAAATAAATGAACACTGAGATTATTTTTCTGCTTGATTGGGATTTTAGTGTCTTTATATTTTATTAGCTGGAGTTTCTGTCCTTTTATTCTCTCTGGTTCTTCCTGGTTTTCCACTAAATTTGATCCCAGCTCAGATTTGGTCTCAATTCTGTTCTGGTTTTATCACAAATTTCTTCTTGTGTTATAAATTCTTTATTGTTGTAAATTCTTCAATAAATACCTTATTTATCTGATTTCACTGGGTTGCATTAGCTACATTTATTCTTGCTGTATACATCTGAAGTTGTTATTTTTTTGTTCCTATTTTATTCTGGTTCCATACATCCATGTATCAGATCAGAAAATGTTCAGTTCCTGATAATTGTGCATCCAGCAGCTGGATAAACTCTCCAGCTGCTTCCCAGGCCAGAAGTTATCTGGATCTCCCTCGGTTTTTCCTGCTCCTCCTGCTGGATTTCTCCAAATTTTACTGTGTTTCAGTTTGATTTTATTGAGGTTTTGTTCTGGTTGTAAAGCTATGACCGTAGCAGCTGAACGTCGACCTGGGAAGGGTCAAAGATCGTCTCCAAACCCTCTGAAGTCCATCATCCTGCAGGCCTCAGGCAGATCTGTAAAGGTTAATGTTCGTGAGAGGACAGTTAGAAAAGAACAATGGAGCAGTGGGACGTTCAGAGAGCTTTCAAAAAATTTTCTATTTCTTGGTATAGATTAAGTATTTAATTGAATTTATTGATTACTTGTTTTTTTGCGCCATAAGATCTGTATCTGTTTCCTAAACACTTGTTTAAGCCTCGCCCCTCGTCCTCTGGCAGCCAATCAGATCAGAGGTCCTCCGCGTCGCGCGCCCTCCTGTTGTTCTCTTTCTTTTTGCAGCTCACAGGTTAGCTTACAGGTTCAGAAACATGTCCCGGGTCTACATCGGTCGGCTGAGCTACAGAGCCAGGGAGAAGGACGTGGAGAGGTTCTTCAAGGGTTATGGGAAGATTCTGGAAGTGGACCTGAAAAATGGGTAAGGAACCGAGCGAACGACGGCTCAGGCCTGGTTGGCGTGGACGGGCCTGCGGTGCTAATGCTAGTTAGCATATTTAAGACAAAGAACCTGCGCTGTTTGGGTCACCTGGAAACCATTAAAATCTCTTTAACGTCACCTTTGCTTCATGTTGGTGCTAAGCTGGCGCTTCTAACCGGCCTGCGGGCTGAATGGGCCGTACACGGGGCTGCGTGGCTCCGGTAGCCGCGGCTAGGCTAATGTTAGACGTGGCAGAGGAAAGGAGGGGGAACCGTTAAACCGAACCGGTCCCGTTAAAAGTATTATTAACACCAGTTCTGTTATAGTTGGATAAATGAGAAAACCGGAATGGAGAACAATTAGCAAAATAACAACGGCCATCTTTATCTACAAAAACAATTTATTTACATTTCATTTTCCTTTGGGATCAATAAAGTATTTCTGAATATGATTGTAAATAAAAATAGATGTATATCTTCATAGAATCGGAGGGAAATAAAAAGGAAATTTGCTTTAAAATTATGTTTTATAATCCTTATACAACCGGGAGCACTGAAATGAATAATTTTATAATCATGCGAAATAATTATGTAATTCTACTTTTAAAATGTGTAGCTTTTATCTTGAATTTAAGAAAAGAGCAATAAATGGGTACATCCTTTAAAACTTTGGCAGGTTATTGATAACGGTGCTAAAATAATTCAAATACATTTAAAAATTAACTTTATAAAATGTCATTAATGTGGTTAGGGCTAGTTACAAACGGTTATTTTAATAACTATAGGGTCTGCTCTAACTGAAGTGATATTTGTCACAAAGATCCTAGAACCTTATTTGTTCTGATTTGTTTAAGTGTGTATTTCTTTGTTTTTCTGTGTAACATCATTGATGAAATGTTCATTCTTCAGGATGATTCGGTGTAAATGTTCTTGTTCCTGTGCAGCTACGGCTTTGTAGAGTTCGATGACCCTCGTGATGCAGATGATGCCGTGTACGACCTGAACGGCAAAGAGCTGTGTGGGGAGAGGGTCATCGTGGAGCACACCAAGGGGCCGCGGCGGGACGGGGGCTACACCGGGGGCCGCAGTGAGTCTCCTAACCGCCGTTCGCTCTCATCATGATGATCTGATCAGAACCGGACAAAAGCTGAGGCTGGTTCTTGGTGGCTGATGTCTCTTTGTTAATATTCTGGTTGGATCTCTTTGGTCCTGAGAGAGCCTCTCAGAGCTGGGGGGTCATGGCAGAAAGGCGTAACCTTTGACCTTTCAACTCCAGATTAAAGCATCTAGCTAGGTTAGAAATGGAGCTAAACTGCTAAAGATCATTTTAGTCATTGATTATTCTAATGATTAATCTGATTAAAAATGATTAGTCACTTAAAATAAAGCCAATAAAAAAATCCAGTTTATTTTTTAAATAAGAAAATAAACATTTTATTTCCTAAAATGTACTAGAAGCATTTGTCTAGAAAAGTAGAAATAATGAAAACATCCTTCAAATATGAGAGAAGCTGCAGCCTTTCTTTTAGCCTCCTGACCTCTGACCTGGAGCTGGAATCAGTCTCAGGATCGTCCAGGTGAGAAGGCTCACCTGGACGATAACAGGAAGTGCCCCTCCCCACTCCCCCCCAACTGTTTGAGGTTCTGGTGATTTTCTGTCATCAGATCCACCAACTACTGTGTGAAGTCCAGATCGAAGCTTAATGGTAACATGATGATGATGTGAATATGGGAATGGCTTAATGACATAAATAATAATGCTAAATGAAATATTGTGTAATATTTGCTAAATATGATGTGATAAATTTCTTGCTGTTTATTGAGTTTGATTCATTTCAAATGACTGTGAATTTAAAGGTAAAGATTTAACAAAGAACCTCAATGTTTTAATTGAAAGAGTCCTTTGCTGACTGCCTGCCCTATTGCTGGCCATGGTGTCCCCCTTTCCAAGAGGTTGGTTTGACCATTCTGGGCCCCTGGGCAGACCAAAAAAGGGAGCCATTGTGAATGAAGACCGCTTTTCCCATTAGGCCCAGGCCGGGTGGTGAGGATGCCATGGGGTTAGGAGCAGATGTGGGTCGGCTCTCATAGGTGCCTAAAAAACCAACATGTTTTCTACCAGTTGATGTTGTTACATAGGCTAGCTATGTTTTTCTGATTAAAGCAGGACCAGAGTTTAGCCTGTGCAGTTAACTTTAACTTGATTTTAGACATTTAGGGACTTTTAGGATTGAATTGTTTAAAGTCTTTTCTCCTTTTTCTTTTCCCCTCTGTTTCTTTTTCCCACCTGCTTATTGATATATTAGCGTGTAGCTTAGGCTGATTGCTGGCAGTGCGTTCCCTTCTCCTGCTCACTGCGCCCTGTGTGTGCTTGTTGCCTTGAAAGGTGGCTATGGGCGCTGGGGAGGCAGGGACAGGTACGGCCCACCTGTCCGCACCGATTACCGCCTCATAGTGGAGAATCTGTCCAGCCGCTGCAGCTGGCAGGACCTGAAGGTGGGACCCCGCCCCCGATCTATCCTGTAGCCCCGCCCACACCGTGACATCACCACTTCCTGTCTCCTCCCAGGACTACATGAGGCAGGCGGGCGAGGTGACGTACGCCGACACCCACAAAGGCCGTAAGAACGAAGGCGTGATCGAGTTCCGGCAGTACTCAGACATGAAGCGGGCCCTGGAAAAGCTGGACGGAACCGAGGTCAACGGCAGGAAGATCCGGCTCATCGAGGACCGGCCCGGCGCCCGGCGCCGCCGCTCATACTCCCGCAGCCGCTCCAGGTGAGGCGCGCCGTCCGGCCGGGGTCGGAGGTCACTCACCCGGCTGGAAGGTCACTGACGCTCCGCTCTGGTTCTACAGGTCCCGGTCCAGAAGCCGCCGGTCCCACAAGAGCCGCAGCCGCAGCGACAGCAGCAGCCGGTCCCGGTCCCACTCCAGGTGAGAACCGGGTCCAGAACCAGGAGCAGGAATCTCTCCTGCTGTTCCTGTGTTTTTAGTAAAAATATGTTTAAAACATGCATCATGTTCTCGAAAAACCTAAAATTCACCAAAATATTAAAATGGGAAGTTATGAGCACTGCCTCCTGGTGGATAAACACGGTACAACAGGCTGGATGTTCCACGAATTAAAATGGATTTATGATCCTAAAAGTCTTGTAAAAATCAGTTCCAAACATTTTAATTCATATTTTTTATCACCATACATTATTTGGCAGATTGTAGCTGTAATAAGGAAGAGTCCTGATTTTTGAAATAATTTCATATTGTATTGTTTGTGCATAACTTTTAGAAATGTTTAGTCTATATTTACATTTTAGGTTAGAAAATGTTTCATAGTTTGAAACTTTTTGTCTGATTTAAGGTCTAGAGGTGAAGAAATAACTAAATTCAAACATTTCTAGAAACACCAAACGTATCGATACGAACAGTTTTTAAGAGCAAATGTAAATATTTCTGATGATGGTTGAGCTGATTTACCCTAAACGCCTTGGTGTCTCTGCAGAGCCGCTTCCCGCAGCCGCAGCCGCAGCCGCAGCAAGAAGAACAAGAGCAAGAAGGACGAGGAAGAGCGCAACGGCGCCGCCAAGGACGACGAGCGCAGCCTCAGCCGCAGCCCCAGGAGCAAAAAGAGCAAGAAGGACGGCAAGTCTGCCAAGAAGGACGAGTCCCGGTCCCGCTCCAGGTCCGCCTCTCGCTCCAGGTCCCGCTCCAGGTCCGGCTCCAAGGACCGGCCCAGGAAGTCCGGCTCCCAGGATGGCGAGCCGCCCAAGAGCGACGCGGAGGCGGCGGACGCCGAGCGGCCGTCCCGCTCCCCCGAGGAGCCCAGAGCCAGATCCAAGTCCAAGTCCAAGTCCCGGTCCGTGTCACCGGCCAAAGCCGGCTCCAGGTCCCGCTCCGCCTCCCGCTCCGAGTCCCGCTCCAAGTCTCGGTCCCGCTCCCGCTCCCGCTCCTAGTCCCGGACTCCTGGTGACC